ACGTTGGCCACTATTAAGGCCGGAAGCAGTGGTCACTTTATTGTGGAGGCATCTAATAGCTGGTCACCTTTGCCTCCTATAAGGGGACGGACGAATACAACAATGCCTTTTTTGGGATTCGAACCCAGGCCCTATGGTATCGCAGTCGACTTCCCTAACCACTAAAATATCTCGGCGGCTACCTAGATCTTTATCGTTTAATTTTATACGCGTGAAATCGGAAACGGATTTCTTTCAGATATTGGGAATTCATCTGCAGACAAAGATAGTTTGGTGAAAATTCGTGGAGTATTTCATTTCATGTTGGTTTAAAACGTTTCTGCGTTATCAAAAGTTTTCTTCTTAGAACAAATTCTCCCCTTAGTCGCTTAATTTCCGAAATTCCTGACATTATAAATGGAAATTTTGATTTATGTCTTATTTTAAGAGTTTTTCAAAATAATTTTCTAAATACTATTTTCTTCTGAGGAGGAGACGGAAAGAGAACTTTAACTGTTTCTATCTTTGACTTTCTGTTTCTTTCTCCTTTTTCGGACTGAGGCCCACCAGCGGCCTAGCCGTAAAATCGCTGAACGTTAGTAGTTCGGTCCGAGGTTCGAATCCCGCGAACGGGCTGGATGCATGGGTGTTTTTGTGGTTTTCCGTATGTGTAACGTGTATACGAGCCAGTTTCCCTTAGAAATACCTCCACGAAGGCATCCCTCCTCTTACGAAGATAGCCCTAGTGTGCTTTGCCGTAATTAAGTAAACCAAACCTTTTTTGGACTGCATAGTTAGTTTCTAAGGATATATCTACTTGTTATGGAATGATTGTTCCTGTGCCTTCGTTATTCCATTAGAATGATTTTCTTCTTATATGTACGGGTTTTTTTTCTTTGTTTTTGCGTTTCATCGATTTTTTTAAAATTTTTATATCAGTTTTTCTTTCTCAAATTTCTATTTCTGTTTTTCATATTTATTGTACATTTCTGTTTCCTGCAATTTCTCAGCATTGAGTAGTATCTAAATTCCTTAAGTTTGTTTGAAGTAACTGTTGCTTTGTAAACATTTATCTCACCTTTCACGAGCAAAAAATATCCTTAAGCCGTTTTATGGTGGGATATCTATTTCTTTTAGGCGTTGCTTTAATTCTTCTTGTAGTATTGCTCTGTGGTTGAACCGACCTTGTTTAATTCAGTGAAACAAATGAGATAATTTACAGAATTTTTTCTAGGAATTTATCAACTGAAACTATCTTTGTCTGTTCATAATCACTCTCTTTGTTTTTTTCTTTGATCTCATATGCTAACGTCCTATTTTCTATAGTAAAGCAGTTTTCTCCATCATCTGCCAAGTAGAAGAACCAGTGAACATTGGTATTATGATTTCGGCTCAAATAGTGGTGAAAGATACCGAAGCATGGAAAATTCCGTGTTTTTTCCCCACGTGAGTTTCGCGTATATGCTTGTAACGCTAATAATAGCCATTCTAATTAAATGATTCTTTACGAAAGCATATCTCTTCTGAGTCAGATAGCCCTTGCTTGTTTTGTTGTAATTCAATTCAAGCCAATAATCTGGCAAAAAATTGTGAGGACTGCTTATTTGTCTGCGAGCATTCAGAATTAAATTTATATATTTCATCCAGTTTTTATTTATAATGTTAGCCAGAAATTCTTTCAGCTTAGGAATTTTTACGCTTAGATTTCCTACCTGAAGAAGAGGCGAATCCTAATTTTCTCCGAGATTCAGCGCAAGAATGAATGATTTACGAATGTAATCAATTAGATCTATGCTTCTTTTTCATTCGCTATCGCTCGACTGAAGCTAAAAGCCTGTAAATATCTTGTTCTTATACAATTTCGGTATCATGCTGAAATCCCTGCCAGTCGCTGTGAATAAATTTTATTTTGTACGGAACCAGAAGACTCAAAATGTACGCAGCTTTATAATTTTTTCCCTTATTCAGTTCAAATCTTGAAACTCATTTTTGACATATATAAGGGGACCGTTTCCTTAAAATTTTACTCATATTCGTATTTTTGATGTCAGCCAAATATTTACAAACATTTATTCAAAAATCTATAATTGGTTTTACGAATTTAACGTTAAAGCGATTTTTATCGATTTTGCTTAAACATCTTCACATAATAATCGAAGTGCTTGGAATACTGTCGATTTTTGGAACTTCTGACCCATCAAACACTTTGGAAAATAAGTGTTGTAAATGGAATTTATAACTAATCGTATTAATGTATGTTACTGATTTTGAGCGACTTTTCTAAAACCAATTATTTCCTTTTTAATTTTAGAACTTGTCCAATCTAGTATAATTAAATGGAGTAATGTAGTCCACTGTTATTAAATTTCGATGTATTAAGATTTCTTAATTTTTCCATTTTGAAATTTTCTCATTTATAAAATTGAATTTTCGTCTTAAAATTATTGAAATATTTTAATTGGCCGATTTTATATATTTTTAATATATCATGTTAGATTTCAAGGTCTCTCTATAGCGTACATGTTTTTGTCTTTTTATGTTACAGTGCATATATTCATTACTATATTGATTACCAGAGAATTATTTTTCGCTTCGGGGGCAGCGTTTTTCTTTCACTATTACATTATTTTCTACTACATATTACTCAAACTCAGTTTCAAATTTTTAGTAAAATTCATTGACAATAAGAGAGAGAAAATTATTGTCGCTATCACAGCATTCTGATGTCATTTTTGTCAATGAAATAAACAGTGGTGAACTCATAAAAATATTACATTGCGATATTAAGACTATTTAAGGCATGATAACACAAGAGTGACATAATAAGAATGATGATATTCAAATAAATTTATTTTTTATTTATTTTTATTTATTTATTTTTTAGTCCAAAGGGATTTGAATCCCGAAGGACTATTAGTTTCGTTTTGGCACTTTGCGTCGGACTCATAAATGTCGGTTCACTTTTCAAACTGTTGCCACAAAATGTTAGAGTCCTGCATTATATTTGAAGAAATTAAATAATGAAAAATCTGCTTAAATGTATGTATATTTCTCGTATTGTGATAAAACAACGGTACATAGAGTCATCGAATTTTTGAATAACGTAATCCTCCAACGAATATGAGCATTGGTGGAAGACCAAATTTGAAATTTGAAATTTGTTTTATGATCGATTTCCTATTTTTTAAAACTTTGACGAATTTTTGATTAACAAACTCAAGGATTTCAAAGCGAGCAATGGCAACGTTGTGCAGAAAAAAAAAACATTTTTATCTCCAGCGCGTGAGTCTCTGTATCGGAAAAATTCTAAAGATATGCTCGTTTTAAAACTATTTTGCGATATTGCTGTTGCACTGGATCTTATGGTTTAAGTGCGAGGAACATGATATTTAATAAAGAAAGGTAATACACAAAATGTTAAAAAACGCCCCTTTGGACGTAATTTAAAATCTGAAACATTTCAGATTTTGTTTTTATTTTATTTTATTTTATTTGTTTAGCAAATTTGAGTGTAAAAACAATTTTTCTTAGCAGTTACGCAAATGTTTCGTCACATATGACCAAGAATTCTGTGATATTTAAAATGTATTTTTTTACTTTACAGTGTACATAAGTAAAATATAAACACTTTATTTACGTATTTCTTTAAGATAAATAATGTCATTTCAGCTTAAGAGGGGTAAGACCGTTTTCTGCTGCAAAATAATCGATTTTTCAATTTGATTTTCAGAAATAGAGTTAACGTTTCTGATTCCAAAAATATACAACATGTTTAGGTTTGATATATCAGACGTTTGTAAATTAAGATTAAAGATGTACGTTACGAGACACGCCCCTATTTTTAAGAAGTATCTTTTAAAAGGCTTTGAACTGAGACTTATGAATATTTTTTTCTAATTATTATTCTCTGTTTCTGTCATTCTGTCAATAGTATTATCCCTATGCACTTCTATACAGAATTACGTCTATTACCAACAAAAATACTTTTTCCAGACTTGAGTTTGAAAAATTATTAATTTAAGCATACGCATGGGATCGAAGCTTTTAAAAGTTCTTTTATCGAAAATCGCAAAATCCTTGAAAATTGGAGAGGAGGATATAGTTATGTGTTTTTTATTAAGAACTTAAATTTCTGAAAATGAAGTGTTAAAAATTTCAAAGATTAATACAGATGTACAATACGTACGTATAAGGAAATTTGAAAGATTGATGAAATCCATTCTTTAAAGCTGAAATAACGATTTATAAAATCATATTCATAATATTACTTTCTTAAATGTATTGAGTGCACCTATTTAAATTCCTCTCTGTGAAGAAATGTATTATTGAGCCTTGATTTTGCTTTAAATATGCTAAATTTTTTAAAAATTGATTAATTCAAGAAAATTAAATTACTTTTAATTTTCTTGAATTAAAAGACCTTTTTCAAATCTTTTATCTCAACATGTTAAATAAAAAATAGGTTCATTTGAATTTCTGAACATATCTGCAAATATCAGTGCAAATTTGTAGTCATTCTTTACAACAGAATAAGTTTTGCGTGTGTTTAAGTGTGATCATGTATCTGAAATCTGTCATTTCAAAGACCTGTCAAGATTTTTTCCATAAAAAATATAATACTGAGGATAAAAATGAAAAACATTGTCTTAGATAACAATACTGTATTGCTTCTATAAATAAAATATTTGTAATCTGCAATGAATTTTATTACAATAATAATTATTTATTACAATATAATATAATTTTATTACATACATAATTATTTATTACAATAATAATGAATTTATTACAATAGTAATATAATTTTATTACAATAAAGAAGATTTTCCCGTTTTTTGCTGCGTAAAAGAACTTACTTCCCTAAAACTCAAGGCAACCAATAATGTGTAGTTACGTAGATATGTAACGTGTCTTTCATAAATATGAGAGATGAAATACCTTTGTTTGTTTGTTTTTTCCCCTCTTGATATGCTGAGATAAGCAAACGCATTACGTTTATAATTAATTCAATTTTATTCCAGTACACGCTGATGACAGAAGTCAGATCTCTGGTCAGAGGTGAGGATCTCGATAAATTCGATGAGCTTATTTACCGCAGGGAACTGCAAGCCATGAAGGTATAATTCTTATATTTTCTTTGTTAATAACATTACTCTATGATAAATATTTAGAATATTTCTGATTCATTAGAATTTCTAATAATTTAATTTTTCATCTGATATAATTTTTGAGTGGGCATGCTTTGCTCTCACTAATAAAGTGCGGTACGTTCCTTTCTAGACCTACTTGATTTGTCAAGGTTTCAAATTTTATTCACAGACTCTCTATCAAATAAATAACACGGAATAATGTGCGTTGCATAGATTACTTAATATTTCAAAAATCAAAATCTTTTCTTATTTGAAAAACATAGTGTCGATATAACCAGCTTGTTTCTTTAGAATTCGGGGATTCTGATATAAATAGAAATTTTCCTTAGAATGGCCTTCATGAAGGTATTAGAGATGGGAAAAATTGCTGTTTTATGGGATAAACTCTGAACCGTTCTCTCACTGAACTAAAAAAGTTCTTATTTGTGACTCGCCGATAATTAACAATAATTTTGATATAAAAAATCTGGAAAGAGAAGCAAATCAAGAGCAGTTGACGAGGATGGAGCGAAGGCCGAAAAGAAACGAACAAGTAGTAGGATCGGAAGAATCGACTCAATGAAACACTAATTCCTTAATTAATTTCTTTTAACTACAATTCTAAGGTACTCTATAACCTTCTGTCTACATATCTCATATGTAGACAGAAGGTTATAGAATAAAATTCTAGAGTGAAAAAATCTCAAGAAGTTGGGAAATGATAAAAATTAAACGGCCTTTTAATATGGGAGAGTAAACATTCTTTTCTCCTCTAATATGAGAATCATATTTTTTAGGCACGCTTCTAATAAGAGTTCTTGCTGGTTGAGTTCTAAAAGAGATCCTCTCTTTTTCCACGAATGAGGCGTTGGTTTGCTCAGTAAAGTGCGTTTAGTTTCTAAACGAAAAGCACATCTCTGTTCCTGGCAAGCTTCCAGTGTTGCCATTGCTGTTTTAACAAAATATGAAACAAAAACAAATATGAAATTCAGAAATTCGGCTTTGAGGTACACATGTTCGGTTGGAAAAATATGTGTGCTCAAAATTTGGTGATTTTAGGTACTGCCATTTTTTCGCCGTGCGAGCAACATTCAGAAATACATACAAACAGGTTCTTCATTATTTGATAACAGAAAACTGAAATTCTTAATACACATAAACAAATGAGCAGGATTATTATGATTCAGTGTCATTTTCCTATCAAATAAAGTAACAACAGATTCAGATAATTGAGATTATGAAATTTGGTTTGGCCCACGGATCCCTTTGTTGGAACGGGAAGACAGATGAAATTTACTTAATTTGTTTCTCGTGTAATATATTAAAAAAGACCTGTTTCATTAACAAACCCTCCGCAAATAATCCGTTTCCATAGGTGTAAAGTCTGTTTGCTTTCGCTAAATTCAAATCTATATTTCTATTATCTATTATATCATCTATTATATCAATCTATTATAAAGTCAAATCTATATTTCTATCGGTGAACATCATAAAGATGTGTATTTTTAATATAAAAGTTATACATATTTTGTTCGATATTAAACACCTAAAATTATTTCACATAAATACTTTCCGTCTTAACTGTATTCCTTTTATATATTTTCTGAATATATGTTAACAAAAGATTAGTTAATAATTTATCTTGCTCTTACAAGCTGTAATATATGCAGAAGTTCAGCAAAGATGAGATTCAGCAGAGATGGAAAATACTATTGTTGTTCTTATAGGTGATTCTCCCGTTGTAATATTTAACAACTTGGTTTCAAAAATGGCGAACCGTTTCGGATATACTGTCATTTACTATAATTTTTAACTATGATGTCAATTTCCCTGAGCTATATAGCTGAAATTATTAGAAGCAATTCCTTTCCTAATTGCGTAATTATAATTACCTACTGCAGTTGCAATTGCATTTACAATCACAGTTGCATTGGAAATGTCATTAGATTATATATTTGCAATTACACTGTAATTGTAATGAGATTTCACAATTACTATGTAATTGTTATTAGATGATACAGTTACATTATTATAATTACATTTTAATAGCAATTAGATTTTAGAATTAAAATATAATTTCAGTTTAACTGCAATTACATTGTAATTGTACCTTTAAAAGCCGTTACATTGCAATTGTAAATACAACATGATTGCGTAATATAATTACAGTAACAATGTAAATGCAATTACATGCTACCCAACTACGCATTCTTCATTATTTAGTAATAGGAATATAAAATTGTAAAGAAACCAGATACGCGTCAATGATGTTTTCCAAATGAAGTGTAAATATCTTTCTTCTATCAACAGTAGTATTACAAGCGCAGACAGACAAAACTCTCTCAACTGTTATTAACCTTTCCAAACCACCTAGACAGAGAGAGTAGCTTCACTGTCTCCTTTCCTCGCTTGAAGTAGAACACTCGATGTGTCATTTTAGAGCCACTCCTGTCAAGACATTTGACAACTTCATCCTAGCATAGAGTGCTCTCTCATGTTATGTCTTCTGCGGTAAATTTCATCCGCTTCGTGTAAATCTTCCTTTCGTGTCAATGAGTGAAGGTGACCTTTATTTTCAACTGTTAAGGAGAAAGCTGCAGAATTTGATTGATTACAAGCTGATGCTTTGAAGGAATGAAATTATTTCCATTCAAAACGAATGTATATTTAGTGAAGATGTAACATATCATTAGTATTTATTAAACCATATGTTAGCAGTCGTAAATGCTTTGTGGATTTGATGAATAAGCGAAATCGAAACTAACCAGCTAGAGCATTTCATAAGTGAAATAAATGCTTATTTTGCGCTTAAAAAAACACCATATTTATTTTTACAGTTTTCATTCTTGTTTGCAACATGTCACTTATTGTACATAAAAATTTAACAAACTTTTAAGAAATAAAGCTTACGCAACGCTTATCAAGGAACGCTCGAAGTAACTACGTTTTTAGCTCGACTCGTTGTTGCCACACGGCGAATCTTAATACCTATTCAAAACATTACATCATGTTGCCACTTAGGAATCTTAATAATATAGAGATATTAAATTATGTTCCACTACAGCTTTTTGGCTCCTTTTTGGCACCAAAACGTGTGTATTAAGAAGAGGTTTCGGGTCAGTGGTATTTTCATTTTAGAATAGTCTTTTTTGAATAATAAGATAAATTTTATTAATTAAATTATAATTATTATAAAAGTAAACATAACTGAATTAACTTTATTTTTGGCTTCGGTATGAATGCCTCCTCTGATGCTGAACTTGTGACGTCAGTTGAGTTAAGTCTGGCTTGTAGTAGTTTTCTTAAAACGAATACAAGCACCTGAAATTTTGGTAGTTAAGTTTCCTGTTCTTAGTTGAAATAAATTTTATACATGAAAATACATGCTCACATTTATAAGTTGAAGCGAATGCGGACCAAATGGCAAAGCCAGTTTTTTAGGAATTATAGATTATGGATGGGCGTTACAAGCTTATCGATTTTTCCTTGAAATTATGTTACAAGTTTTATTTTTTGAAAATAAAAATGCATTTACGATCACTGCAGCTTTGTAATCAAACAACTCAAGTAGATCACTCGAAGACTCGCGGGTCATAGTTTTCCGTGACCTGTCATATATATTGAAAAAATGTGCATAATAATTTCGGAATGCTTTTAACGTTTATCTCTCCCAACATCATTTTGTTGTTCCCAGCAACGGAAACCGCATCTGGTACAAAGGGAGGATTTTTACCAATCCACGTTAAAAATACTCTTTCATTTATCTCTCATATTACAGGGTTAACGTAAAAAAAGTGATGACTGCTTTTGTTTTACATCAAGGACCAACTTGTGTTCCTTTTCTTCCTATAAGTTAGGGCGATCTTTAAATGACAGTTGCTGCGACTGCTGAAATGGCCATAACATACATGCTAGGAAAGAACTTACTATCGCATTGATATCTGTTGTAATACTAAAAGATCACACATAAAACATTCGTAATTCTGCCTCATAAACGTCAGGTCATATTCCTCTATGTATTCGATCCTTTGAAACATTTATTTCCATAATAGTCCTTTTTCCTATTAACAGTTAATCAATTGGAATATCAGTTTATATGGGTTGCTTAACACCTTGCAATAATTGTTATTTTGCATCATGAGTGTCATCATCTACTATTCTGTGTTTCACAAAATAATAGATGTCGACACTATAGTCAACTATAAATGCACTAAAGTCGACTATAAGTACTTTACCTTTTCTCTTGCTTATATTATCTTCTGAAATAAAAAGAGAATTTAATGCTTAAAGGGGATACTGCAAGATACTTTATACTTTTCTTTCCATTACACTGGACAGTATGACCATCAAATGGTGTAAAAACGTACAGGACCTACAATTAATTATTGTAACTTTAATAAAATTTATAGCTATTTGACAAAAACATCCATATGTGCCACACTATCATCTCTACGCAGTTTGATATGGCTAAATGTCCTTCTGCTCATACACTTTAGCAGCTGCGTGTCACATACTGGAAGGCTTCAAGCATACTTGCCCACAGAACATCATTTCCACGTACCGCATCGATGGGTCTTATAAGCTCCATGACCGCTTCTTTCTGACGTGAATTAATTGTGGTTATATGACACCTATAGGACATTGTCTGGTGTCGTAAGATCCCGACTTCGAGGTGGCCAAGGATAAAGGTCGGCTAAATCAAAAACACTTCCCAGGCGAAAAGCTTTCTCCATCTACGTCATCAAAGTCTGAAGATTGGTGACTCCTTACCAAACCGTTCCGAAACCTATCCATCACCTTTGCCATATTTTCGCTGTTGCGTTTCTGTTCATAGACCCATACATAAACGCTCGTCCAAAGTGAAGTCGCTGGTATTTGCCACTGATCTTCGCCAAGCACAGATACAATAAACTGGTCAACGCACAGACTTTATTTTCCTCCTGGACAGTCACGTGGCAGTTACATAGCAATCGTGTTTAAATTCACCT